TAGTTTGGAAACTTGGAAATTTGGAAACTTGGAAACTTGGAAATTTGGAAATTTGGAAATTTGGAAATTGAACTTGGAAATTTGGAAATTTGGGAACTTGGAAATTTGGGAACTTGGAAATTTGGAAATTTGGAAATTTGGAAACTTGGAAACTTGGAAATTTGGAAATTTGGAAATTTGGAAATTTGGAAATTTGGAAATTTGGAAATTTGGAAATTTGGAAATTTGGAAATTTGGAAATTTGGAAATTTGGAAACTTGGTAGTTTGGAAACTTGGAAATTTGGAAATTTGGAAACTTGGAAACTTAGTAGTTTGGAAACTTGGAAATTTGGAAGCTTGGTAGTTTGGAAACTTGGAATCTTGGAAACTTGGAAATTTGGAAACTTGGAAACTTAGTAGTTTGAAAACTTGGAAATTTGGAAACTTGGTAGTTTGGAAACTTGGAATCTTGGAAACTTGGAAATTTGGAAACTTGGAAACTTTGAAACTTGGAAACTTGGAAATTTGGAAATGTGGAAATAAAGCAGTTTGGAAGTTTGGTAAATTGTAAATTTCTCAATTTCTCAGTTTTCAATTTGTCACTTTGTCAACTCCTCAATTCCTCAATTTATAACTTTAAAAATTTAAAACTTCTCAAACCTAATGTTCTTAAATTCATCGAATAATTAAAAGGTCCTCGTTAATTAAAAAAAATGATACACTTTATTCCAAGTGTTATTTTTCAATAAAACAGAAGCACAAATGAAGAAATTAATTCTCAATCATTTATTGACTGCGCAACAGCCGGCACTCTTGCAGTAATCATTATATCATATCTGTCATAATTTTCTTTTTTATCGGCAGATCTGAGAACTTCGTCAGATAATTGCACTGCACTTAAGAAAAAAAAAAACACGTGGAATCTACCGTACAATTGTCATGTTACATGATATTCAAATTACTTGTATTACGTACGTTTCATATACGCAATTCAATTTTATTTTCATACGTTTTTCATCGTTTGCAAATATTTGTGAACAAATTGCTTTTTAATTGTTCGAAAATATTTATCTTGATGTTGCACATAATTGTTGAATAAAACCTTTTTATTTATAATAAATTTCATTAATAAATTTTGTCAACAAATGTACTTTTCACTGTTTTCAATTGTCGATAAATTTTTGTTATTAATTTAAAATTAATTATTAAACTAGTTATAAAGATTCAGGTCTTCACTATTTTCAACTACCAAAGAAAAACTAGCAATTGTTTGAAGAATATATTTCATTTAATTACTACATTTTATAATTTTTACAATTGCATGTTTGCACAGTTCTAATCGTTGAATTGTGATTTGATTATTTAATTGAAAATTGTTTTAAGGATAATTGGTTCCGGCAGCAAATTATTCGATCAATTTTTTTGCTTCTGCACGATGCAACGCGAAAATTCAAACGCCGCTTCGCATTCGTCAGATATCTCTTTCGCTGAAACAATTTGATCGTGCATTAATTAAAAGAAATGTAATTACAATATTTTATACGTAATATCAAATAATTTGATAATATATGTAATTTCAATATTAATCGAAACCTACCTTCTTCGACACAAGTTAACATATTCTGCACGCTTTCGGCAACTCTTTCCGCATCACCTTCAAATATTTTCTCAGCCATTTGTTCGTATTTTTCAGCGTTTATGTTGTCTCGATCAATCTGAAAAATATAATTTGTCATCAAAGAGAAAAAAGTCACACAAAAATTGTTCATTCAATTACTATAGAAAAATCATTTACTATCATTTAAGTGAATTAAATTATAGGTCTAAACATAATCTATCATCTGTTTAAGCGCAGACTCTCATTATATTGCCGATTGGTCAGTGACGCTCTCCCTTTATTGCAGAAACTAGAAATACGGTTCTTGAGAGAATAATCTTTCAGAGAGTAATTATAATAACTAGTAATTGTCCCATGTAATTGTCCTCTACGGCAATATATCAAGAGTCACTCCACAACCAAATATCTACTCACAAGTTCGGATCGTTTCATTACACAGAGCTTCAAGCAGCCGAATTTCTTTTTCTCCTCGCCTTCTAACTCGAAGTTGTCGAATTTCGACAGCTCCTCTAAATAAAAATGGATTAATTAAAAATTGAATTAAAAAAATTGCACTCTTGACTCACCAGCCGGAATATCTTGTTCTGCCGCACAGGCCTCGATCTGTTCTCGAAAAGCCTCTGCCACTTTTTGGTTGCCACGGATCATATCCTAAAAATAACGTTAATTATACTCGTATTTAATGTAATCAATTTAATGTAAAATGTTATTTTAATGTATTAATTATTATTTTGTGATTGTACCATGAATAATTAGTGAAATACCGCAACTGAATTAGAGGTACCTGAGCTACCTGAAGTGTTTCATACAATTGTATGTATAATCTCTGCACTCAAGGTACCTAATTTATTTGGAGTACACATGATATGTACCTGACATCTTATATCATAATGTACCTAATGTACCTGATGTGCCTAAGTACCTATGTACCTAAGTACCTAGTCTTACTGTCATTCTCTTGTAACCAAAAGTGTCAGAGGAACTTTTTCAATTACCAAACGTATCATCAACATAGTATTTGGTACATCTCAACGTCTTACTTTATGAGGTACCTGAAGTACCTGAAGTACCTGAAGTACCTGAATGTCTTAAGTTTGAAAGGTACATGCAGTATATTGAAGTATCAGAAGTGACCTAAATATCATAGTGTAGTATGAAGTACTCTACAAAGTACCAGAAGTACCTGAAGTGTCTTAAGTTTGAAAGGTACATGGAGTATATTGAAGTATCTGAAGTGACCTATGCATCATATGGTAGCATGAGGTACTCTATAAGGTATCTGAAGTACCTGAAGTGTCTTAAGTTTGAAAGGTACATTGAGTGTATTGAAGTATCTGAAGTGACCTATGTATCATATGGTAGTAGAGGTACTCTATGAAGTACCAGAAGTACCTGAAGTGTCTTAAGTTTGAAAGGTACATGGAGTATATTGAAGTATCTGAAATGACCTAAGTATCATATGGTAGTATGAAGTACTCTATGAAGTACCAGAAGTACCTGAAGTGTCTTAAGTTTGAAAGGTACATGGAGTATATTGAAGTATGTGAAGTGACCTAACTATTTAAGGTACGTATGAGGTACTGTATAAAGTACCTGAAGTATCTGAAGTATCTGAAGTACCTGAAGTAGTTGAAGTAGTTGAAGTAGTTGAAGTACTTGTAATACCTGAAGTGTCTTAAGTCTGGAAAGTACATGGAGTGTATTGAAGTATCTGAAGTGACCTAATTATTTAAGGTATGTATGAGGTACTGTATGAAGCACCTGAAGTATCTGAAGTACCTGAAGTACCTGAAGTAGTTGAAGTACTTGGAGTACTTGTAGTACCTGAAGTGCCAGAGTACCTGAAGTACCTGAAATACCTGAAGTACCTAAAGTACCTAGAGTACCTGAAGTATCCTCAGTAACAAAGTTATCTAAATTGTCTCGAATTACCTAAACTGATCTAAGTATATAAAATATCCTAACTATACGAGGTACCTGAAGTATCCCACATGCCTTTGACATAGTACCACCATAAAAACCAACAGAGTTGCAAAGAGCTTCAGACTCAGTTGAAACATCATCACTCAAGTGTCACATTGATGAACGAAGTTATCACACTAGTTAATTACTTTCGATAGCGAACTATGTAAAGTGTTTAACAAAGTGAAAGATAAATTTGTGATACAAGATAAAAATTTTCTGTTCTACTCACCGCGACAAGAAGAAGGCAACCGACGAACAAAAGGGACTTCATCTCGATAATCGTTTCGGAACAAAGAAAAATCACGAACTGACTGATGCATTCAATGCTCGCTGAACATATTTATAGAGGACCGATGTGAAGAAGCGTCGAAGGTGTTAGATTCCATTACGAAATAACAGGAAGAGAAATAATTACTCAACCCACGCTACTTTATATAACGAAGCTCTGATTGCGATCTGAAATGGATGGCCAATTTAAGGCATACTTGAATATCCCGTGAAAAATGATTGCTTTTAATTGTTCGATCGCCGAAGAAAAGATACGAACGATGTCCTTCGTGCGTAGATTTCCGAGAATATCTGCGATTCCATATTTTTGAGCGGATCATTCTGAAAATAAACGTTCACTGGGTTTGCATACAATCCTGGGAATATTTACCTACGGATCTAATAGCTGAAAAATAGAATTGAAATTTTATTATTATTAAATTGATTTCTTGGTAATTGATCGTTTTTTCGATATTTTATCTTTCAAACTGTTCACATTGTTAGTCGATGTTTGTTGGATACTTTGTTAATTTTTATGGTGATGGCGATGATCGAGTGATTAAATTTTGATTGATATGAGGGGTTGGATTCATTAAGTTGTATGATAGAATTCAGAAATAATTTCATTTAGAAATTTAATTATTGGGAAATAGTATAATTTACAAATTCAAAAATGTTACTTCAGAAATTTAATTATTTGAAAATAACACAATTTGCAATTTTAGAGAAAATTTCATTCAGAAATTTAATTATTTGAAAATAACACAATTTGCAATTTTAGAAAAAATTTCATGCAGAAATTTAATTATTTGGAAATAACACAATTTGCAATTTTAGACAAAATTTTATTCAGAAATTTAATTATTTGCAAATAACACAATTTGCAATTTCAGAAAAAATTTCATTCAGAAATTGAACCATCAGCAAATATTATAATTTAGAAATTAAGGAACCACTAAATGGTTCAAATAATTATTAAAAATCACAAAATAGTATAATAAAAAAATTTAATAATGAAAATTGTGAAAAACAAAAATAAGTGAAGTGTTACTTAAAATTATCTATTAAAAAATAGACGAGCAGTCTGCATTAATTAATTGCATATCTAAAAGAATTAATTACATACAATCGCTCCATGAATTAATTGTTCGATAAGTTGCGAACGATATTCAATCAAGATCGATTATAAACCAGTTCGATTAAAATGCAAAACTAGACAGGATTCTCAATAAAGATAAGAGGCGCTGACGAACCAGATATAAATTAATTTCATCGTTTTTTAAATCGTCATGGGATTAAAACTAATCCTTTGAAACCGGTCTCAGATGTTCGATCAAAATATTGAATTGATTCAACTTTCATAAATTTATGTAATCGAACGAGATTCTGCTTCGATAGTCATCGAAAGATTAATTTTGTGAATGTTACTTGATAACAGACATTTTGTAATGATTACACGTTGTATTTCTTTATATTTATCGCGGAAGATTCATTTAATTATTTTAATAATAGTGTTACGTGTAAGGAGATCATTTTATTGTTCCATTATTTTGTATTTTATTTTTATATTTTGTTACAATGTTTTCTTATCTTATTTTCTTCGATCAAATTATTTTTTGATAATAATTAAATAATTTAAGTTTAATATTTTTCGTTTGTTTTGTATTTTATTTTTATATTTTATTATTTTCATGAATCAAATTATTTTTTGACAATAATAAAAGAACTTAATTTTAATGTTTCTCATTTATTTTTTATTTTATTTTTATATTTTGTTAGAATATCTTATCTTGTTATTTTCTTCAATCAAATTATTTTTTGACAACAATTAAATAACTTAATTTTAATGTTTCTCATTTATTTTTTATTTTACCAGTAATCTTTTATTTCCAACATTTTTAAATCTGTTTGTTTTGCTGATCATCGTTGTTAATTACAACGAGATTTCCCTAACAAGCTTAGCGATATTAAACAATGCCGGGAAGAAGTATAATAGCAGTAATAATTCTGGACAACTCAGCGAAAACAAGAATTACGATATTATCTCCGAATAATATTTTTATTACCATTACAATTGACAAATCGAGGATAAATGTTACTCCACAAAAAAAGGAATTGCTAAACAATTAACATCTGCATCAACTTTTATTAAAAGATAACAAAAAAATTACGTTGCTTATTCACATAAATACGGTAACTTTTTTATACTTCCATTCAAATTTAGGAACAATCGATCTCGATTTATCGCAACGAATAAATCGATAAACATCGAACAACAGTCAACATTTACTCTAAATAAAAAAGCCTTCAATGTTCAACAATAATCCACGCAATTTTAAATTAAAAAATTTTCAAAAATATTAAAATATTAATTTTCAGAAACATTGTAAGTCATTCCATATCAGATCATCAAAAACAATGTTCCAATTTAAACGAACGATGTATGGTTGATATATTCTTCATCTCCGCAAGGTCTTCCATGAGCCACGATTATTTAACGATGATTGTTCCCGATTAGACTCTTCTGCATTGCGGTTTATTTCTGTTGTTCCTGCAAACCGCGTTGTGACGATTGTAACGACGACGAAGAGTGCGATAGTGCATCGACGACCGACGCTTTCTTTGATGACCTAGTCTAGAGATTCCGTAGTGATCTAGTGAATTCGTTGTTGACTCGTTGATCATGGGGCCATGTACATCTGCAACAGAGTTCTGATGATCAATTTCGCTCGTAATGAACGATTCAAATTGAGCGAATTAGCAATGAGGAGCTAGGAAACTAGAGATATAGATAGATAGGGATGGATGTCAGGATAGGATGGGTAGAGAGATGGAGATGTAGGAAGATAGGGATATAGAGAGATGGGGATATAGAGGTGATGGGATGAGAAATATATTTATAGAAATATAGAGAGTTAGGGATATGGAGATTTGGGGATATGTGGTGGTAGTAGAGTGGAGAGTTGGGAATGTGGGGATTTGGGGATGTGAGGATTTGGGGATGTGAGGATTTTGGGATGTGTGGAATTGGGGATGTGAGGATTTGGGGATGTGTGGAATTAGGGATGTGAGGATTTATGTGACGATTTGGGAATGAGTGAAATTGGGGATGTGTGGAATTGGGGATGTGACGATTTGGGAATGAGTGAAATTGGGGATGTGTGGAATTGGGGATGTGGGGATTGGGGGATGTGAGGATTTGGGGATGTGTGGAATTGGGGATGTGAGGATTTGGGGATGTGAGGATTTGGGGATGTGTGGAATTGGGGATGTGACGATTTGGGAATGAGTGAAATTGGGGATGTGTGGAATTGGGGATGTGTGGAATTGGGGATGTGAGGATTTGGGAATGAGTGAAATTGGGGATGTAAGGATTTGGGGACGTGTGGAATTGGGGATATGAGGATTTGGGAATGTGTGGAATTGGGGATGTGTGGAATTGGGAATGTGAGGATTAGGGGATGTGTGGAATTGGGGATGTGAGGATTTGTGGATGTATGGAATTGAAAATGTAGAGATTTGGGGATGTGGAGATGTGGGGATGTAGAAATTTGGGGATGCGGAGATGTAGAGATTTAGGGTACAAATACATAGTTAGGACTAAGAGTAAGAGTTATAGAAATTTGGGGACATGTGGAGCTAGGAATACAAAGAGTTGGAAATGTAGAAATTTGAAGAAATAAAGGTCTGGAAATATAGAGATTTGATGACACAAGGAGCTAAGGTCATAGGTAGTTAAAGATACAGAATTCTAGACATATAGGAAACTAGAGACCCAGATCTAAATACATAGATCTACTGATATACTACGTGCGATTATGACTGTATTAGATCCATAGTCAATCTTGCACATCCTTTCCTATTTCTCAAATTAATCCAACTGACATTTCCTACTGTATTAAAACATCCACATATGTAGATCATGTGAAACATGTAAAATAACCCTATTGTATGATTATTATGAAAGCAAGATCAATTCTACTAGTATTGTATTGTGAACGATAATGTATTAGTAACATGATTCGATAAAATAGTGTAAAATGTGTATATGAGGAGAAGGTGGCTATATGTGTGAAGATGGCTATACGAGAAGAGTGTACTATATCGAAAAATCACCTCCGAGTCCGTTTCCCAAATGCATTTTGCAATTTGCCACGCTAGCTCGCAGCCATCTGTGGATGTGGCTGCAATTAAAATGAAACGATCAATTAGTGTCATTAATCGGCGATTTTACAGATTTATTGACTAATTGCAAACCTTGTGGTTCGCACACTTCAATTATGTGGTCGACTCGTGGTACGTATTCCTCCAGCAACATCACTCGAGAACTTTTAGCGAAGAATTCCCAATTCATTACGTCGTTCTTCATCTAAAATCAATGAATAGTTTTAATTATAATAAATAATTTTAATTTTAGTTTATTAAATTTTTTACTCACGAATTTCGTCGCAGTCAAAATGCATCTGAGGTAACACATCAGACTTTCCTCCTTTGGAAATTCTCCCTTGTGTTGGCCGTCCAATAATTCTGATACACAAATGAAATTATTTGTAAAGATTTAACAGGTATTTTCAGAAATGTAATATCGCGTTTGTTCATGTAACACGTTCAAATAATTTCATTATAATATCCTAGTATAATTAATTCTAATCACAGCTAGTAACAAATGTCTTAAATAATTAGTCTATTATTTTAAATTTTATTTTACCTTTCGGTGCATCGGTCTTCTTGCTGCATGTTTTCCTCAGATTTTTAACCGACTTCTTTGCTTCCTCGATTGTCATTTTTTTCTGCACACATAAAAATGATTCGTTGTTTAATTTTACTGAGTAATTATCATTACAACATTTTCTACGGACAGAATTCACAACGCTTGGAATACGCAGTGTATAGAATTCACAGCGTGTGAAATTAGAAACCATAGAATGAGAATGCGTAGAATTCACGACGCGTAGAATTAAGAGATATTGAATTGCAATATGTAGAATTTGCAACGCATAGCATTGTAACGCGTTGAATTCACAGCGCGTGAGATACGGAGTGTGTAGAATTCACAACGCGTTGAATTCACGGCGCTTAAAATTCCGTTTGAAATTAAAAACCCTAGGATTAAATCGAGTAGAATTATAATGCGTCGAATTCACAACGCGTAGAATTACAATGAGTAGAATTCACAACGCGTAGAATTGCAATATTTAGAGTTGACAGCGTGTAGAATTCACAACGCATGGAATTTTCAGCGTGCAAAATTAGAATGCGCAGAATTACATCGCGTAGAATTACATTGCGTAGAATTATAATGCGTAGAATTCACAACGCGTAGAATTACAATGGGTGGAATTCACAACGCGTAGAATTACAATATATAGAATTCACAGCGTGCAGAATTCAGAGCGCATAGAATTCTCAGCACGTAGAATTAGAATCCACAGAATTACATCGCGTAAAATTATAATGCATAGAATTCACAACGCGTAGAATTAAAATGCATAGAATTCACAACGCATAGAATAATAATGCGTAGAATTCACAACGCGTAGAATTACAATGGATGAAATTTACAACGCGTAGAATTACAATGGATGGAATTTACAACGCGTAGAATTACAATGGATGGAATTTACAACGCATAGAAATGCAACATGTGGAATTCACAGCGTGTAGAATTCAGAGCGCATAGAATTCTCAGCGCGTAAAATTAGAATTCACAGAATTACATCGCATAAAATTATAATGCACAGAATTCACAACGCGTAGAATAATAATGCGTAGAATTCACAACGCGTACAATTACAATGGATGGAATTCACAACGCGTAGAATTACAATATGTAGAATTCTCAGCGCGTAAAGTTAGAATCCATTACATCGCGTGGAATTAAAGCATATGGCAATATATCTAACAATGCACCACAACTGCTCCTCAATTAATCACATTTACAAACTAACCAATAACTGCAATATAACAAATGAAGCAACAACTCACGCTTTCTGTGTCCTTGATGCTCAGCAGCACCATCATCAAGGCGACCAGTAATACAACACTGTACCCTTTCATTCTTTCTTCACCTTTCACCTCTCCGTTAAATTTCTTCTTCTCACACTCTCGTTTCTTCTTCGAAATACGAACGGAGCTTATCCGTGCCACTCGGAATCGCCCTTGCTAGGTCGCGATACGTGTGTGTACCTTGTTTTATAGCCTGCATATTGCCGATAAGTAGGAGAACGACCAATTTTTCTGTCTTTGGTGACGTGGCTGGTGATTAACGTGTATCCGTAACCTCCATTTTCGTGAACGTCTTAAAATTACACCGGAAGAGGAGGATCGGTGTCACGTAATAACTTACATCGCCTCTGTAATGATTACTCGATGCCCGTGGTTCGTATTTTGTATCTTCAGATTTCTGTATTTAGGTGCTCTTATGGGAAAATATTTTTGTTTGATTCTGTAGGATGGTACCTTTTTTAGTAGTAATATTGGTGACTGTTATTAGTAATAGTGATATAGGTGAGACAAGAGTGTAGCGTAGTATAGTGATGTGATAACGTGAAGTATGATAATGTTGGTAGTGAATAGTACATGGTAGTGTTAGTAGTAGTTGGAGGTATAGGTAGATGAAGTATTTGAAGTACTATAAGTAGTTATAGTAGATATGTAGGGATGAGATAGTGTAGTTAGGGTAATAGTGCGAATAGTGATCTATAGTGAAATAAAATATAAGCTGGTATATTACTGTACTATTATACTACCACAGCACTAAAACTATACTACTATATTATTACAATACTACGACTATACTGCTATTATACTACTATTGCTACTGCTACTATGCTGCTACACTACTATTATACTGCTACTATACTATAGTACTATACTACCACCTTACTATTACTATACTACCATACTATTATGCTACTAAACTACTATATTACTATATTACTACACTAGTATATTGATATACTACTGAACTACTATATTGATATACTACTGTACTACCATATTGATATACTACCATACTACTATACTACTAAACTACTATATTACTATATTACTACACTAGTATATTGATATACTACTATACGACCATACTACTTTACTACTATACTACCATGCTACTATACTACTATATTACTATGCTACTATACTACTATACTACTATATTGATATACTACTATACTACTAAACTACTATATTGATATACTACTATACGACTATACTACTATACAGCCACGCTACTATACTACTATATTACTATGCTACCATACTGCTATGCTACTATACTACTGTACTACTATACTACTATACCGCTATACCGCTATACTACTATACTACTATATTGATATACTACTAAACTACTATATTGATATATTATATACTACTATATTGATATACTACTATACGACTATACTACTATACTACCATACTACTAAACTACTATATTACTACACTAGTATATTGATATACTAATATACTACCACGCTACTATATTACTATATTACTATGCTACCATACTGCTATGCTACTATACTACTATACTACTATACTACTATACTACCATACAACTATACTACTATACTTTGGTAAAATTATTTAACTACTCCCCTATGCAACTACACAACTATACCATATCACTATCCAACTATACCATCGTATCATTATTCTACTATTCCATTATTATACAATACAATTGCACACCTTCAGTACTATACTACTATTTATATATTTATATTTTTATATAAGTGTCTGATTGACTACATCATAAAATAGTGCAAAAATTACACAATTGAAATAGTAAGTTGTGTAAGACCTAATTGAAATATTTGAATGATGTATTAAATGAATGAAAGTACATTCTTGAAACAATAAAGTTTTATCACCAGAGTTTGTAAAAAATAAGAAACAATATATTTCATTTCAATCAACGACTATAATCAATGACGTACAAGGATCGAATACAATTATCATCGACGAAGCATTCACAAATTGTGCTTGTTCCTAGGAAGGTTTCTTGCTTCAGGGAAAGAAAAATATGTCTGGAGCCTGTTCGTAAACGCATTGTACGTATTTGTATGCTATGTCACATTGATCGCCGGTGTACTCTGCGCAGAATCACCAAAAATTGTTTTAGAAAATGGAGAAATTTAATTAAAATTTAATGTATCAGGCAACTATCAGTAATGATAGAATTTACGATTTCGTTTTGCTTGCATCAATTAATCATGTTCAAAATTCAAACTTTGCTATTTAATGAATTTTTAGGACAAATCTATCGAAGATATTTTGCATCTATTTTAGTCCGTTTTGTATCTACTTTAATTTATGTAGAATTTAATTAATAATGAAAATACCATACACACCATTTTTAGAACAGGCGTTTACACCGTCTTTCATTCGAACTGCCAAATCTTCTGGCATCGACATGTCGATTTGCTTTTTGATCATCGCGAAGTCGATACCTCCGTTTTTAAACTGAGAAAACACGCGTGGATTAATTACAAAGTTGTTTACGAGGAATTAATTACTAATTCAGTCATTAAGTACTCTTAATTACACGCTTTCAGTTATAATGAGATTACTGTCTTACACTTCTCATTATCTTCATGATGCAATGCGTGTAACACTTGAGATTCGGGTCGTCTGGGAATTCACCTCTTCTGATTCCTGCTACTAACTCTATATTTTTAGAAAAAAAAAAGCAAAATTGATTTTTGGAATTTGTAGTTGTGGTTATATGGTGCGTTTGTATGAGATTTTCTTTACCTTCTGTCGTGTCGATTTTCTGCAGACATGTGGTTCGCATTCCTTTCGCCATCTTCTCCATTTGCTCTTGGGTTATCTGTGATGATGGATTAAAAGTGCTTTTGGTGGTGATAGAGTAGTGAGAAGTATATTTATTGATGCTGAGTATGATTTTGAATTGCTAAATACTTAAATTCCTAGGTATGAAACTTTATATATTGCCAAATCCCTAAAGTCCTCAGTAGGAAACTTTCTATATTGCCAAATCCCAACACTCTCAAATCCCTACACTCCCAAATCCCAGCACTCTCAAATCCCTATACTTTCAAATCCCAACACTCTCAAATCCCTACACTCCCAAATCCCAGCACTCTCAAATCCCTATACTCCCAAATCCCAACACTCTCAAATCCCTATACTTCCAAATTTCAACACTCCCAAATCCCAACACTCTCAAATCCCTACACTCCCAAATCCCAGCACTCTCAAATCCCAACACTCTCAAATCCCAACACTTTCAAATCCCTATACTCCCAAATCCCTACACTCCCAAATTCCAGCACTCTCAAATCCCTGAACTCTCAAATCCCTATACTCCCAAATCCCTACACTCCCAAATCCCTATACTCCCAAATCCCAACACTCTCAAATCCCTACACTCCCAAATCCCAGCACTCTCAAATCCCTATCCCAACACTCCCAAATCTCTGAACTCTCAAATCCCTAAACTCCCAAATTCCTAAACTCTCAAATCCCTAAACTCTCAAATCCCTAAACTCTCAAGTCCCTACACTCCCAAATCCCAACACTCTCAAATCCCTATACTCCCAAATTCCTAAACTCTCAAATCCCTGTACTCTCAAATCCCTATACTCTCAAATCCCTATACTCCCAAATCCCAGCACTCTCAAATCCCTATACTCCCAAATCCCTGTACTCTCAAATCCCTAAACTCTCAAACCCCTACACTCTCAAACCCCTTCACTCTCAAATCCCAAAACCCCCAATCCCAAAATTCTCAAATTCCTATTCTCTCAAATCCCCAAATCTCAAATACCACAAACAGTACCCTTCATCCAAAAATGGCCATATAACGAGAGCCTCCCACAAATATTTCTACCACACTGTTCCTCCCCCTAAAAAACATAATCCCACCAGTACACTAAGCACCTTCCTATTCTCCCAAATTTTCTCCCTATTTTCCAAAAAAAAAAGACTTACACCGTTCACCGGGTTGAAAGCCACAGAGACCAACATCGCCACCAAAAGCAGCAGCTTCTTCATTTTCCCTCAGCACAGAATACCACAATTAAACAGAATCTCTTCACATTCGAGTTCAAGCAACTGAGGACTCCGTCCTCTGGAATGTTCCTTATAAATCCTTTGATTTTAATAAGCGTTACATCTTCGAACGTCGCACACGATCATTTTCGACCCCGATAATTTGGCATCGTCGTCGAAACACGGTGGTTTTGAACTCGATGACAGGCTCGCTAACTTTATGTAACACGTTAATTTCATATCGTGCGAGCGGCTTTCAGACAGATAATTCGATGATACTCACCTAACCGGATGCTTCCTTTGTGATTGCATTTCGGACGCTTTATTTGGATTTGATTTCTTGTTGAAAGGTAGCTTTGGGAAATTATTTTGCTGGTAATTAGATAATTACTTGGTGGGAAAAAGAAGATTAGATTTATTTTAGCATTGTTTTGAAGATTGTGCAATTTGTTAGTCGATTTGTGGCTTGTTCGCGTTTATGCAATATAGGTGGAGGTATTGTTTTTGGTTGAGTAATAGTATAATTATGACTTGATTTTATTATTAAAGGATATGAGAGATTATTGTGATAGTTCTAGCTTTGTATTTATCATTTTACTGCATTCTTCTTTTTCTGCAATATAGGTAGAGGTATTGTCTTTAGTTGAGTAATAGTATAATTATGACTTGATTTCATTGTGAGAGGATATCAAACATTATTGTGATAGTTCTAGCTTTGTATTAATTATTTTACTTCATTCACTTTTTCGGCAATATAGGAAGAGGTATTATCTTTAGTTGAATAATAACATAATTATGGTTTCATTTCATTGTGAGAGGATATCGGAGATTATTCTAACAATTCCAGCTTTGTATTAATCATTTTACTTCATTCTTCTTTTCCTGCAATATAGCAAAAGGCATTACCTAGCGTTACTAATAAAATAATCACTCACCAAGGAAAAAAGAATAGTAAGCTAATATTAATTACAAAGCAAAATCTCAAACTTTATTCACCTAATTCATCCTCAATTTTTATGCACCTCTTTTCTGCAATATAGCAAAAGTACCTACATATATGATACAGAATAAAATAATCACTCATCAAGTAAAGCCAGCAATAAACTAGATGTTAACCAACGATACAAAAAATTATTCACCCTCGACTTGCATTACATAAAAATCTGCAATATACGAGAACCTTATGTTTGCTAATAAGCTAATTACTCGCCAGGGAAAAAAGAAGAACAAACCCGATTTTATTACCAGGCTACGGTATAAAAGTTCATCCACTTTGTTACCCTTAACCTCGTAACGAGGAAGATATTATTATAATTCTAGTGGAAACAACGGCTTATCGACAAGATGTTCGTTACGCAACCTGATGAGAGAGGTCCGTTATTAAGGCTAATTAAAGTTGTTTAATTAGGGCGGTGTCGCAAAGTTCGCGTTATTCTCATGCTTCCTTCGCGTCGACTCGACTTCTCTTATTTCTATGACTCGTTGCATTCCGAGGTGCACGGGATGCATTTCGTTTCTTTTATTTGTGGAGTCGCTGGAATGAAATGAAAGAAACTGGCGAACGGGTGTGCGTGAAACGCGCTCATTAAATACCTGTCAAACTAGGCATATTAATTGCTGATTTATTTTTGAGATACGATATACGAAAACTAGCATGTAGAGTGGCAGGATGTATACTAGGATTATGCATATGTATGCATAATGTATATGTATATGTGTATGCACATGTGTGTGTGTATGTGTATGTGCATATGTATGCATATGTATATGTACATGTATATGCACATGTGTATGTATTGCGTATGTATGCATATGTATATGCACATGTGTATGTATATGTGTATGTGCATATGTATGCATATGTATATGTACATGTATGTGCATATGTGTATATGCATATGTATGCATATGTATATGTACATGTATATGCACATGTGTATGTATATGTGTATGTGCATATGTATGCATATGTATATGTACATGTATATGCACATGTGTATGTGCATATGTATATGTTTATGTATATGTATATGCATGTGTGTAGTATGTGTGTATGTATATGTATATATATATGTGTATACTAGAGACGTATGTGTCTAGCAATATATGTATCTAGACACATACGAAGATACGTAGACATCCACATATAGGTACCACATGACAACGCTACCTAAGAATCTAAAAATCAACTTAAGCATCTCAACATCGAAGACCACATGTCCCAAAATAATACTCACACGTCACTTTCATAACATAAATTTTACGTAATAATATTTTTCCAACGTATCTCATCGACTAAAAATATTTCCAAGCGCAATAACAAAATTTCACCAGAGGATGACATCGGATTGAATCGAAGGAATTCGATCGCGTAATACCAGCCTTCCTTCACCCACATCTGGACACCGTTGTGCTCGTTTTCAACCGACGATATCAGAACGCGAACTTTCTCCGTAATTGGTCATATATCGGAATGTTTACAGATGTTATCTCAAATCTAGCGAACTTTGGACAACTTTTTTTCAATACAGATTATCCGATCATATGCATTCTTCGTTGCGTTCCCTAAACTTGTCAGGATTAATACAAGTTAAAAATTATTAACTATAATCTTGTAGAATTTTGCATTTTATTCTGTAATTTATACAGTTGTATATAAATATCGAATATTGTAGAATTGTCGAATTATAAAATTATAGAATTTTAGAGTTATAATTGTAAAATTATATAAAATTTTATAATTTACAAAATTACATAAAATTGTATGAAAGTTAATCATAAAAAATAGAAATATAGAAATATACAGAATAATTCAAAATAAATAATAAAATAATTAATTAAGAAACCAGTTCCCCATAAACCTCCCCTACGAACGTTTCATTAAAAACCAAAAACGCGACAATTTACAAAGCACCCAGCACTCATTCGAAAGGGTGTCGTTCCGTCAAGAAAGTCCCTAGCGTCCATAACGCAAGCCACTGATAAATTATTCCATTATAGTTTGCATTTCCCAGGACCGTACGATTGCTGAACTAGAGTGGGGTTTCCAACCACCCCATAGCGGTTTAGCTACGGTCCAACTCTATGGAAAGCAAGTTCGTGCAGCTTGCTTGTTCGCTTGTATTTCGCAGCCCTCTCGGACCCTTCCGCGCCAGAAGACTGGCGTTAATGTCGAACCCTTGTATCTCGAGAGACACCCTTAAAACAGGACCATCTGGCCAGGAACCATCCCCGCCAACGTGCCGTGGCCATTAGTCCGACGGCCACTCTTCGCCGGCTCGATAATTACATTTTTTTTCTTTCTTCCCTTTTCCTCGATCTCGTCTCCACGATTAATTTCCACCTGATCGTACGGTGCTCGAAACAACCCCTACGAGGTCCACTTCAGCCTTCGTTTTGACCTTTTGTCTCCTTTTTTAGCGACACGTGCGCTGTCTTTCGGTTTTGTATACCTTTGATATTTTCTTGTTTGTTCGCGATATTTTTATTTATGCAGGACATTTTTGTTTTGATATTTTTTATTTTTATTTATGAAGAGGTTAGATTATGGTTCTTTGCGTTGGAGACATTTTTAATGCACTCTCTCCGTCGTCCATGATGGAGTTTCATATTTTCAAGGTTTGATATTTCACCTGTGATATTTTATTTGGGATATTTTTATTTTTTATTTACTGTCTCATGCAGGGTATTTTTATTTATTTTTGTTTTGGTATTTTTCATTAACTATTTTTGAAGAAGTTGGGTTTGAGGTTATGGTGCTTTGCGTTGGAGACATTTTTAATGCACTCTCTCCGTCGTCCATGATGGAGTTTCATATTTTCAAGGTTTGATATTTCACCTATGATATTTTATTTGGGATATTTTTATTTTTTATTTACTGTCTTATGCAGGGTATATTTATTTATTTTTGTTTTGCTATTTCTCATTAATTATTTTTGAAGAGGTTAGGTTTGAGGTTATGGTGCTTTGCGTTGAAGATATTTTTAATGTTCTCTCCGTCGTCCATGATGGAGTTTGATATTTTTTCCTGTGATATTTTCATTTTTTATTTACTACCTTATACAGGGTATTCTTATTTATTTTTATTTTGCTATTTTTCATTTTTATTTTTGGAGAGGTTAGGTTTGAGGTTATGGTGCGTTGCGTTGCAGATATTTTTACTGTTCTCTCTTCATCGTCCATGATGGAGTTTGATATTTCACCTATGATATTTTTTCGTACATTCCGGATATTTTTATTTTTTATTTACAATTTTATTCTGTCTTGTATATGTACAATTTTATCTTGTTTGTTTTCGATCCATTTTGGTGTTCATTTTTATTTTTGAAGAGGTTAGGTTTGAAGTTATGGTACTTTGCGTTGAATATATTTTTACTGTTCTCTCTTCATCAACCATGATGGAGTTTGATATTTCACCTACGATATTTTCTCGTTTATATCGGATATTTTTATTTTTTATTTACAATTTTATTCTGTCTTGTATATATACAATTTTATCTTGTTTATTTTCGATCCATTTTAGTATTCATTTTTATTTTTGAAAAGGTTCGAAGTTGTGCTTCGAGATGCTTTTACTTCTCTCACCTCATAATTTCGCGAATTAAATCGAAAGTCGAAAGTTAAATAATGCAACAACTCCGGCAGAAAAATGTGGGATCGAGTTTTCCACCGGTCGCGACAGGAAACCAGTCGAGAAAGAAAAAATTGATTTCGAGTCTAATCAGTGTCTGTTTCCACGTCTCGCACATACGCACGCGTAGGCCTAATCGTATCCGTTTCCTGCGGGTTCCAGCTAGCCACGTCCATTTGACGATAAACAAACTGAAATCGTAACGCCGCTGAAAATAATCTTCGCCTTGCTTCCGCCTTCCCTTTTTTTTTCTACCCTCTGTCCATTTTCTCCGCGCTCCGATTTCTTTCTCACGACAACCAATAATCAAACTTTGTATATTTTCTCGTTTAACCGCCTGGCCTCTTTCTGTCTATACGAAAGTTCGACGTTCGAGGCTGTGCTTTTTGTCAGAATTAGAATTACTTAACTAGTGCGCGTGTTGGGAGTCGTGTCCGGTGTTTGATATTTGCATTGCAAATTGTTTCACTTAGTTATTCCTGGCTTTTGTGGAGAACTGGTTTTCGAGCGACTTTGTTAGAGTGTTTATCATATTTTCTATATGATAATTCGTATAAAATTTTGTTGTGAATGGGTTTGATGAATAGTTGTGATGAATAGGTGATTTGTGAATAAGTGGAACCCATGGATGTTGAGTCCCTTAATTTACAATTAGAACATTGGTAGCCTTATACGTGCACAGTATGTACGTCAAGGATTTGAAGATCCAAGGATTTATAATTCATCAGAATCTAGAGGTTAGATGTTTCAGCACAACGCATCTCTTTAGCGCAAAAGAGAATAACTGTTCTCCAAATGTCCACATGTGGAGTTGAACGCTGCTGGGACTTGTGTAAGTGTCATGAAACGTTCCTATTATACCTAATTTCAGTTTTGCAAAAGGAAGTAATCACATGGAGGTCAGGCTTTGGAGGATGTTGCAGACTTTTTCGCCAAAAATTCACGAACAGACAGTTCTGCATGTTGCGTTATCATGCAACAGAAACCAACTTCCCAACGCTCGATA